TTACCATAAAATTTACAATCAGGAGTACTAATTGTGAATGATAAAGAATACCAGGAACAAAACAAACGCCAAGAATCAAAATTATCAATTATTACAACAACTGATTTGCAATAATAACAATTGTTGGTTCTTTAAGCGAGAATAACAAAACAATAATAATAACAGAGATGAAAGAAGAAAGAAAATATATATATGTAAATTAAAACTCACCAAACTTTATCATGATGATCGATGAGGCCTCCTCGAACGTGATGAAGTTGGATTAATGATGTACCTATATAGGAGCTTAGTGTAAATAAGGTGTAGTTGTTTTTCTCTCTTTCATGTTTTGTGTTGTATATTAGGGTGATTATATGTTTTAGGTGTGATTTGTTCTAAAATGTTGTGTTTTAATATGTGTGGTTGTGTATTAGGTGTATTTTGTTTTAAAATGTTGTGTTTTCATATGTGTTGTTGTGTATTAGGTGTAAGGATGTATAAAAAGTGTAATTAAATTTTTTTAGTATTTTATGTATAATTTTTTTTATTTTTTTGTGTTGTGTTTTATGTGTAATTATGTGTAATTATGTGTTTTCTTTTTTTTCCAATTAAAACTTTAATTAATATTTTTTTCTCTTAATTTATTTATAACTTTAATTAAATAAAATTTAAGGAAATATCGTAAAATTTAATTTAATTTATATTGATAATTATTGAAATTATCAAACATATTTTTTTTTACACAGACAACTAATCTAAATTTAATTAATTTTTTTTTATACTGGATTTCATTCACCTTTTCTTATTTGTAATTTAAATAAATTTAACATACATACTTAATTTGTAACTTATATTTTTACTTATTCTATTCTAATTTTCTTTTCACTGTTCTTTTCCTTTAGTTCTTAGTTATAACTTCTTTCTCTTTTCATTTTCTATCCCTATCTCGGACTTTATATCAATTTTTTCCTTGTTTTCTGTATTTTCCTATTTCTTAATCATTCGTTTTTTTTTTCTTTTTTTCTTGAAATCACAATATCATTTACTTTGTTTTGCTCAGATTTTTTTTACTATTTTGGGAATTTATCTGCTACTTCACTGTCTTTTCTATTGATTTATTTTTTTCAACTTTCTTTTAATACAATTTTAATCACTTTTAACTTTTCCATATTTAAAAAAAAAAAATATTACATTTAGTGATAGATGTTGTTTTATTTATTTTGTTGTTTGTGTTTTCTAAACTTGTGTTGCACTTGTTGGAGTTTGAAGTAGATAAAGGCTTTGTTTTTCTAATTTTTACACTTTGGTCGTTGTTTTTTACTTTATACTACCTAATATTTAAACATTACTGATGCCATCGGTCCATAATGGACTAACTCATATTTAATCACAATTTGATGGTTATTGGGTTTTGGCTGTTTTAAGCACTTTTTTTTTGGTTATTTCTGGAAATGATATTTCGTAACACTAACTGGTAGATATATATGTAACATTCAATTCTCGGGTATGTGGTGGCTGGAATGATGGTCCTCTAAAGGAAATTGTAACAGGTGATGGGGTAAATTTCCTCTATTCACAGTCTTGGTCAGGTGTTGGCTTTTCGCAAAAATTTGGCAATATGGGTGGAATCATTCAACAAATTTTTTATACCCAAAACAAACTCTTCTTAGAGAGAAGGATTCTTGAAACGTGCCTTACGGGATGCGTTCCAAGAGCCTAAATGAACATTTAATATGTAGGAAATCTTTAGATTTAATTAATAACGAAATTTTAGAGATTCAACTTACCTTCTCTCTAAAATTTCGAGAACAATGGAGGTTTTAATAAGGATGGTTTACTCCATCCATGCCAAAGGTATGGCGATTGTGGGGAACTGTCCACGAGGTGTGGCTAAAATGGGTTTCTGGTGATCCTCGATATGGGTCAACAAATTTATGGTTTTAAAACGCTAAAATATATAATATTTACCATGGATTAGATCCGGGGATGTATAATTTTGAACAAAATTCCTAAAGCTCCACGATTATTTAAGGAAAATTCTAAGATTTAAAATTATAACTTTATTACCCGAGCATTTGATGCTGCCTCGCCAGAAGTCAAAGGAAAAAGGAAATTTGCAGCTTATGTCAATTTAATGACATCTCGGTTCGAAAATCGGAGACATGTTTAGTGGGTATATATGCAAATGTCAAATGAAAAAAAAATACTACTTTCGATTACGACTCAACCTCGACTCCTATTCATATCAATTATATATCCTAGACAAAAACCTTTCCACGCTTTATTTACATCAAACAAAACAGCAAACAACAATATAATTTATAATAAATAAATAAATAAACTTAATTACAATGTGCATGATGAAATAAATTGGATGTTGGTTATGAATTCTCGGAATAATATTTATTAAAAAAGATAAATAGATAATAAGGTAAATACATTTAAAATTCCTTACAGATCAATAAATAATCTACTATAATGAGAACAGCTAGCAACAATGTTTATTGGAAATGTTGATAAACATTCGTATGTAACTAAATGATTTTTGTTGATATTGTTGGGTGGTAGCAAAAGTAGATGTAAAAAGTTTGTTTATTATATTTTAAATAGTAAACAATTGTAAATCAATAATTTCATTTTAAAATGTAAACTTTTTGCTGTATCCTCGTTTTCTTTTAAACCATATTTAGAAACCAAAAGTTTTAGTTGATAACATTTATAAATGCTTTGAAGTATTTTACTTGAAAAAATATTTATACACAGTGTTTGGGAAATCGTACACTACAAAACCAGATAATATTGACTCGTTGAGTAGCAATATTAGCTGGAGAAGGACGATTATATTCGAATATCCTTAGCATGATAGGTGCCGATTTGTTTACCCTGTAGGTCTTCGAGTTGGTAGTAATGATTTCCTAGTTTAGTCCTTACTTTAGCTTTTACGAAAAGAGGAGCAAATTTAGCATTAAACCTATCCGCAGCATTGCTTTGGACAAAATTCCGACGTAAAACTTCTTGGCCTACTGTAAATGTTTAAGGTCGAGTTCGTAAATTATAATAGTGTTGATTTCTTTCGTATGCAGTTTTAATGTGTTTTTGAAGATCTTTTCGTATTAATTGTAAACTATCGTCTCTATTTAAACGATAAGATGGTTCTTCTAAAAGTTTTAGGTTTCGCAATAAGGCATATGACGACCCATGAGTCACCATATCGAAGCCGAAAAGGGCTTGATAAGGCGATATGTTGATCGCTTGGTGACATGAGTTCCGAAGTGCACAACTAATGGCACTCAGATGCTCATTCCACTTCGTATGATCTGCTTTTAGATACGAACGAATACCGGCTATCAAAGAATGATTAACTCGTTCGGAAGCGTTAGCTTGCGGTGAATAGTAAGCAGTGTACACATGGTTTATTCCTAAAGAAGTTAGATAAGCATTGAAATCGTTAGCCTTAAATTGGGATCCATTATCGCTAACGATAACTTCTGGGACACCGTATATATGAAAAATTTGTCGTTCCAGGAACGTTTTAATTGCATCAGAAGTGAATTTTCTTAACGGATGTAACCAATGAAATTTAGTTAAATGGTCTAATACGATTAATAGACCGATATTGCCGGACTTACTTCTGGGATACGGACCTAACAAATCGATATACATACGCTGCAACGGACGGACAGAAATAGTTTGTTTTCCCATTTCAGGTTTCATGACGAAGTTTGGTGCTTTCGTCGTTTTACAAATTTCGCAATCTCGTATGAAATCTCTTACGTTTCTGACTAGACCTGGCCAGAAAAATTTTCGCTTTAGGAGATCTACCGTCTTTTGCATTCCGCCGTGAGCTGTTGCTAATGAAGAATGAAATCTATTTATCAAATCTATTCTTAAGCCTTCTGGAATTCAAAGTTTCCACGTATTACATTCATTTGCCTCATTACCGTCGTAATGCTGTGTTCTTATATAGACAAATTCATCCACGATACGAATATCTGGATACTTTTCCTGATTCTCTCGAATTTTTGTTTTTAATTTTGTATAATCGAGGTCTTTAAAGCAAGGGGATGATAAGTCTATTTCGGGTTCTGTAACTTCAATTGTTGCAACTTCTTCACAGGAAATTCTGGAGAGTGCATTAGGAATGACGTTTTCTTTACCCTTACGATGACTAACTGTAAATTTGTATGTCTGAAGCTTCAATACCCATCGTGCTAAACGACCTGTTGCAGCATTTAATTATAATTGTTATATTTACATATTTATTTTGTTCATTAATTTACCTAACATGCTGTAATTTGATTGTTGTTATATTGATCGAATTTAAATACTCGCATATTCTCACTTATTGTGTAAATTGGATATAATAAGCTTATTACTCTTTGACGCATAATATAAGAGTTTGCTTTTGAGTAGTAAGATCATTAATTGCCATATGTACATACGTACCTACTTATATATTTTTTCTGGATTCTTATTTATTCCTATTTATTCCTATTTTTTACATTTTTTTTTTTTTTGCCTATTAAATTATCCCGTTAAATACTTTATTATTCTGGATTTATATATATTTAGTCAGGAATGAATTGTATAAGAAATTTTATATTTTTTCAATTGCTCTTGAACATTCAAGATGATCGGTCAGTTAGTTGGTCTATACGCTTAATAAAAATAAATATTTTGTACACTGTTTCCATTCTATTTTATTCAAATTAAATTCTATAACATAAGAAAAATTGGTGCCGAAACCCGGGAATAGTGTGTTAAAGTAAAATAGTTGTGAAGTGATATATTTTATATAAAATAATTTGGTGTTAATAAATTTTGGAATTAATTTTGTAAAATTATTACGTTTTTATATTTTAAAATTATATAATTTCAAATTTATTCGCAATCGATATTAATTAAAATTTAAAATTTCACGATTATTAGCTTTATTTCAAGCATTATTTCCCATTCTTGTTTGAATAATTTAGACATTTTCTTTGATATATCTGTAATAATTGGACATTTGGGTTAACAATATGACTAGTTTAGACAACGTCATAGACAGGCAACGTGGTTATTTAAGACAACTGACCGAACTGCATATGCGATTCTTGTCGAAAGTCGAAAAGACTAGGGGTTATCTAACTAGTCTTCTTCAGGAAGTAGATGATCTAAATCGACATTTTAAGGAAAAACATGAGGAGATTTTAGATATTATTCGCGAAACTTCCATGAATACTCGTGATGTTCCGTATATCCAAGACGATACTTATTATACGTTCTCTGACTTGTTTTTGCTTTTTAAAGGAGCAATTCTTGATATTCTTCCTGAACAGACAGACCATTCGCCTGCTTATACTAGCACATTTGCACTTCCTTCTAATCATGCGGACACATCTGCTAGCGTAGATGCAAAATTACCTAAGATATCTTTACCAAAATTCTCCGGCGATTACATGGAATGGGTTCCATTTCAAGATATCTATATGAATCTTGTACATAATAATAATTATCTTTCTAAAGTTCAAAAGTTTTATTACTTAAAAGGCACTCTTTCGGGAGAAGCTGCTAGCTTAATTAAGCCCATATCTGCTACGGAAGCCAATTATGATCTTGCATGGTCCACCTTGACATCGAGATATCATAATGAACGTGTCATCGTAGATGCCTTGGTTAGGAAATTTTTGAACATACCAAAATCAGATGGAACTTTTCAATCTGTAAAAACACTTCTTGATACTACTCAGGAGTGTATTAGTTCACTAAAAAATTTAGGCTTTGATACTTCTACATGGGATCCACTTTTGATTACCATAATTGGACAGAAGCTGGATTTATTAACGCGTAGGGATTGGGAACATTCTTTAAAATCATCTACAGCGGTACCCAGCATTGGGGAAATGTTCAGTTTTCTTGAGAGAACCTTTAGAACTCTCGAATCTTTACATGAAGACATACCTTCTTCAAATAAAACTAATAGTTTCCCAAAGGGAAATCATTCAAAGTCTAAAAAGACAGTTTTTCATACAAATCAAGTTACACAAAAACATCATGTTTTGTGTTCACTTTGTAAAAAGACTCATGCTTTATCGAAATGTTACAAATTTATTGCATTTCCAGCAAAATCAAAGGAGGAATTTGTTTCTAATAATAATATTTGTCGTAATTGCCTTACAGTGGGTCACCATCACAGTAACTGTACCTCTACATATCGGTGTAATATGTGTAAACAGCCTCATCATACCATTTTACATCAGGATAACTCAGACAGTTCTATGACTCCATACTCGGATGGTATTCCCAAGAATGTGGACAATACTACTTATTCGAATGTTCAAGTTTCTTCCAACAATGTTTATTTGTTTGGAAACGTGGTTCTTTCCACTATTCGCTTAATTGTGAATTCTGAAAATGGTAAATTTCCATTCAGGGCACTTTTAGATCCTGGTTCACAGGGTACATTAGTGACTGAAAGGGCAGTACAGCTTTTACGTCTTAAGAGACACAGATCAGATTGTGTCGTACAGGGTGTAGGTGAAACTAGAATTGATAGTTCTAAGTCATGGGTTCTTCTTGATATTTGGTCGACAGTATGTAAACCGATAATTTCTTGCCCGGCTCTTGTTTTACGTAAATTAACAAGTTATACGCCTAGTACTTCCCTTGGAAAAGTTTCGATACCTGATAGTATTGTAGAATCATTAGCTGATCCCAAGTTTGATCAATCTGATGAAATTGATATCATTCTGGGCTCAGATATTTTAAGCTCGATAGTAATACCTGGTAAATCATTCAACTTTAAAAACCTGTTTTTCCAAGATACTTTGTTTGGTTGGGTATTCACGGGTCCTACTAGTGACCGATCATTTTGTAGTATAAACGTGAATATGGTTAACTTAGATGATACTTTGAGACTTTTTTGGGAGCAAGAGGAAGTTGAGGTGAAAAGAGAATTAACAAATGATGAGATACTATGTGAGCAATATTTTTGTAAAACAACGAAACGTAGTGAAAGCGGACGATTTATCGTCAATTTACCCTTCAAATCTGTTGTTAATGGTTCAACATATATTGATTTGAATAACAACCACACCAATGCTTATAATCGATTGTTACATTTAGAACGTCGTTTTGCTAGTCAGCCACAATTTTGCGAGAGATATATGGCGTTTATGCGAGAGTACGAGTCGTTGTGCCATATGAGTAGGGTAGGCAGTTATCCAGATAATGTTCCTGAAAATGGTTTCATGTTACCACATCATGGTGTATTAAAAGAAGAGAGCACAACAACCAAATTGCGAGTGGTTTTCGATGGCAGCAGCCATTTAGCCGGTTGTAGCTCCCTTAATGACCAACTTTGTTCCGGACCCGCTTTGCAAAACGATTTGCCGCAGATTATTAACAGATGGAGACGTCATAGGATAGGATTTTGTGCGGACATAGAGAAAATGTTCCGACAAATTGAGGTATGTCAAGAACATAGACGGTTTCAACAGATTTTATGGCGTTTTAACCCTAATGAAGAAATCTCAGTTTACGAGTTGAATACTGTTACCTACGGAACTACACCAGCTCCCTACTTATCAATAAGGGTTCTTCGAAAACTATCTGAAGACTACTGCTCTTCGTTTCCTATTGAGTCTAAAATTCTAGCTTGCGACTCCTACGTCGATGATATAATATCTGGTTCTGATACATTGGAAGAAGCAATTTCTATACAGAAAAATTTATGCACTTTACTTGAGAATGGAGGTTTTAAACTTAGAAAATGGGTTTCTAATTGTCCAGATATTTTAGTTCAAATACCTGAGGAATACAAGGAAAAGTCAACTTCCTTAAATTTTGACCATGATAATGTGGTTAAAACGTTAGGAATTCAATGGATACCGATAACTGATACCTTCACATTTAGAGTAAATTCACCACTAACAAATAAAGTTACAAAGCGTATTATTCTCTCCGAGTCCGCAAGACTTTTCGACCCATTAGGTTGGCTTGCACCAACAACTATATTGACCAAAATCCTGTTTCAGAAGTTATGGTTGGAAGGATTGGATTGGGATTCTGAGGTTCCACAATATATTAGGAATACATGGCTAAAATATAAAGGTACTTTAAAATGTCTAGAACAAATTAAAATATCTAGGTGGATAAATTACAACCCTAAATCCATGGTGGAACTGCATTGTTTTTGTGACGCATCAAGCAATGCATATGCTGCGGTAGTGTATGTAGTCTAGGTAATGTTGACATTCATATATTACAGGCAAAAACTAAGGTATCGCCGGTGAAGACTGTAACAATTCCAAGGCTTGAACTTTGCGCAGCTGTACTTTTGGTTAAATTGGCTCAGAAGGTTATTAAATCCCTATCAGATATTAATATTAAAAATATCGTTTATTGGAGTGATAGTTCCACAGTACTAAGTTGGATAAAAAAGCATCCCTCACGATGGAGTGTATATGTTTCCAACCGAGTTGCAGAAATACAACGCTATACAAACACTAATCAGTGGAGATATGTACCTTCAGCGTCTAACCCAGCTGATCCCGCTTCCAGAGGAATATTACCGGAAGATCTAGTGAAAAATATGATGTGGTGGCATGGACCAGAGTTTTTAAAGGATTCCTCCTCTTGGCCAAAGAATATTTGTAATGTTGAAACTTCTTTAGAAGAACGTAAGTCTAAAATCGTCTGTAATGTTTGCGATAATTTAAAATACCCTGGTATTTTTAATAAGTTTTCTTCATTAATCAAATTGATACGGGTTTGTGCATTATGTTTACGTTTTTATAATAATTGTAAAAGAATCAAGGAATTTAAAATGTTAGGAACTCTTACACCTATAGAAATCAGAAACTCATTACATATGCTTATAAAAACAACCCAAATTATTGACTTTCATAATGAGCTTAAAAGTTTAAACTCTAATTTGCCTGTTAAAAATAAACATATTTTAAAACTAATGCCTTTTCTGGATGACGTTGGTATTTTACGTGTAGGCGGAAGATTAGAAAATTCTAATTTAAATTTTTCTTCAAAACATCCTATATTACTTGGTAAAACTAATCCATTGTCAGTTTTGATTATTCTGGAATCCCACCAAAAAACCTTGCACGGAGGTTTGACGTTAACCATGTCCTACGTTAATCGAAAGTTTTGGATTATATCAGGTAATCAAATAGCTAAAAAGATAATTAATAATTGTGTTCGTTGCTTTAGATATCGTGCCAAAACATCTCAACAAATTATGGGAAACTTACCTTCGGTTCGTGTTAATATGACCAGACCTTTTAAACACAGTGGCGTGGATTTTGCCGGTCTCATTCAACTAAAAAATTCAACACTGCGGTCGGCAGTAATATCCAAAGGATACATTTGTTTATTTATTTGTATGGTTACAAAAGCCATACACTTAGAAGTGGTGTCGGATCTTAGCACTAACGGATTTCTGGCAGCATTTCGGCGGTTTGTGTCCCGAAGAGGAGCTTGCACAGACATATATTCCGATTGTGGCACTAATTTTGTAGGCGCTTCAAAGGAGTTGCAAGTTCTATACAATAGAAGCCAAGCGTCGTTGCCAGAAGAACTTCGAGAGGATTTGTCTCACTCTGGTACAAACTGGCATTTCATACCGCCAGCCTCACCTCATTTTGGAGGATTGTGGGGGGCTGGCGTAAAATCAGCCAAATATCATCTTAAACGCATTATGACTGATCGAGTGTTCAGCTACGAAGAGCTTACAACTTTGTTATGTCAGATCGAAGGTTGTCTTAACTCGCGACCCCTTTGCCCTCTATCTACGGATCCGACTGATAATGATGCCTTGACGCCCGCACATTTTCTGATTGGAGAGCCTACCGTTTGTCTACAAGAAGAAGATCTACTTGATGTTAATGATCAACATTTACCACGTTGGAAGGCTATAGAGAAGATGAAGCAATCATTTTGGAAGAGGTGGTATTCCGAATATTTAACCCGTTTACAGTCAAGACCAAAATGGTTAGACAATCTACGTACTATACAAAAGGGAGATTTAGTTCTTATAAAAGATGAAAGGTGTGCACCAGGGCAATGGTCTCTTGGAAGAATTCATGAAATCCATCCTGGTACGGATGGACGCGTAAGAGTTGCATCAATCTTATCGAAACACAAAATTTTTAAAAGACCTATAACTAAAATTTGTTTACTCCCCACAGGTAATATCTTTTCGCCTAAAAACGTGAATTGTTCAGATCAGGATTAATTACCCATAAAATGTAGGCTTACATACCTCGCTGTGAGTAGAAGCATAGCGGAGTCTATAGGACTCGACTAAAACACTTCCATCGGTAAGCCTGCATTCCATTGGGTTTAAGAACTGTAGTTCTTGGGGCGGAGTATGTTGCAGCATTTAATTATAATTGTTATATTTACATATTTATTTTGTTCATTAATTTACCTAACATGCTGTAATTTGATTGTTGTTATATTGATCGAATTTAAATACTCGCATATTCTCACTTATTGTGTAAATTGGATATAATAAGCTTATTACTCTTTGACGCATAATATAAGAGTTTGCTTTTGAGTAGTAAGATCATTAATTGCCATATGTACATACGTACCTACTTATATATTTTTTCTGGATTCTTATTTATTCCTATTTATTCCTATTTTTTACATTTTTTTTTTTTTGCCTATTAAATTATCCCGTTAAATACTTTATTATTCTGGATTTATATATATTTAGTCAGGAATGAATTGTATAAGAAATTTTATATTTTTTCAATTGCTCTTGAACATTCAAGATGATCGGTCAGTTAGTTGGTCTATACGCTTAATAAAAATAAATATTTTGTACACTGTTTCCATTCTATTTTATTCAAATTAAATTCTATAACACGACCACTAAGGTTTGGCTGGCGCATTAACCATACAAGACTCGCATGATCAGATCTTGGAGTTCTAAATAGCAGCGAAAACGTTGAGTTGCTTCTACCGCGGCGAGACATTCGCGTTCTGTCACGCTATAGTTTCGTTGCGCAGATTTGAGCTTCTTACTCATATAGGCTATAGGTTTCTCACAATTGTCATCATCTAGTTGCACTAACACCTCACCGATACCGTAATCGCTTGCGTCGCAATGTAAAAAGAATTTCCTACTGAAGTCAGGGTTACTAATAATTGGGGCTGAGGTTAAAAGAGATTTGATTTTTTCGAAAGCTGATTGAGCGTCCGGTGTCCAAACAAACTTCCTTTTTGTTGATATGGTTTCAGTAATAGGAAATACCACACTGGAGAAATTTTCTATGAATCTCCTATACCAACCTGCGAGTCCTAGGAATCCTCGCACTTGCCTGAGATATTTCACCAGTGTTACGCGAAAATGGCTTTTGGATATATTCAAAGTGAGGTTTGCTTTTTAAAACTGTTCGGAAATACGGACTAAAACTGAAAGATGTTTTCGGACACTATTAACAAATCATCTAGGTAACCAAATACCATATTCTTGAGATCTGGTGGAATGATCTCATCCATTAAACGACACATGGTTTGCGGAGCAGTACAAAGGCCGAATGGCATAACCACGAATTGGTAGAGCGGCCTACCGGGCACAGTAAAGGCAGTTAATTGTTTAGACTTTTCCGATAATTCGACTTGCCAATAAGCATCTTTTAAATCTAACTTTGTTATTATGTTAGCTTTGGGTAAACGAGAGAAGATTCACTCTATCGATGGTAAAGGATATGCATCTTTCTTAGTAACTATATTAACTTTTCTTGCGTCAAGACACAATCTTACTTTATTAGGTTTAATTACTAATCTCATTGGACTACTCCAAGGTGATGTTGACGGTTCTATTACACCTAAAGATAACATTCTATCAATTTCGGAAAACATAAGCTTTTCTACTGCTGGAGACACGGAGTAGAAACGTTGTTTTATTGGCTTTGCTTCGCCTACATCGATTTCATTTTTTATTAAAGTTGTACGACCAAGTCCTTGTGTTTCAGAATTAGGAAACAACGAAATAACTGCTTTTAATTGTTGTTTTTGGGAAAAAGATAGTTTATAGAAGTAGTTTTCTGAATCCTGAGGATCAGATTGCTCATTTTCAGACGGACTGTTGGACAATACAGACAAATCTGAAGGACAAAAATTTAATAGAGATTTATTAACTAAATCTACAGATTTGATAACATCTGGTATTAAATTGAACTTTCTCCAGAAGTCAATTCCCAATATTAATCTTTGAGAAATTGTGGGAATAATAAAAATGTTTAAACTATGAGAATTATCCTTGAAATTTACATTGACTTTAAGCCACCCAATTACTTGTTGTGATTTACCATCTGCGGTTTTTACAAATGAATTGCACTTGGTAAACTGTGGATATTTTGTGAAATCTTCACGAGCAAACTCTGAACCGATGCAACTAATACTAGCGCCGGTATCAAGCAAACCATATTCCGAAAAATTAAGGAAGCTAACTTTGGCGTAGTACCGCATATCATTTGGGGTGTTCACGATAGCTGATATTAGTAATTTGGCACTTAATTTGCGACGTTTAAAAAAGATACGAAGACGTATTGTTGATCGTTTTTTCTTACGACAGGCGGAATCTTGGAAAATTTCATTGCGTTTAGTGTAATAATTTTCCCAACGTCTGTGAAAAGGTTGTTTGGGATACAGGATTTTAGAATAATCGTAAGTGTTATCTACATTTTTAAAAAGGTCCCTTCTTAGTATCTGGAAACCACTATAATCTGGGTCATATCTTTCAGAATTTAAATCATTATAAAACTTGTGGGTCAAATCAGAAGCATGAAGGTCAACATCAGGGGGTTTATTCGAAATAATTGGTAAATCCGCTGTTTTGGGCGAATCTATAGTTGTTCCTTCTGTGGAACCGTAGGTTTCGAGTTTTTTGAAGTTTTACGGTTCAAACATTTGGTGCATTGTGGCTTGTAAGTGTTCTTAGTACCGCAACCATAACAGAACACTGTTCTTTCCAACAAGCAATCTTCATAGAAATGACCTAACTGGTCACAATTCCAGCATCGAGGAACTACCTCAGGTTTGTGGACAGCTTCTATTGAAGATTCTTGAGGGAAATCTTGGTTCAAGTCAATTTCCGAATCGATTTCAGCAACTTGTCTATGAGGCATAACTGTATTTGGGTTTCTAGCTGCAAAATTACGACGGACATACTCATCATTGAGAAAAGATTCCCGCATTTGCACTAGCTTCCTGAGATTCGAAATGGAATGAATAGGTTGGTATAGCAACTCGTGCCTAATATCCGGCCTAAGGTTCCGTGTAATAATTTCGATCAATTCGAACTCCGGAAGGGGATTAGGAAGACGATCCATTAAAGTAGATATCGATTCGTAAAATACATCAAACGATTCTCCGGGCTTTTGTTTGCGATTACGTATCTCTTCGCGTATATCAAATGGTGACTTGAAATTCCAGAAAGTTTCTTAACTATTCAGTTAAACTTTCCAATTAAGATGTTTCTGTAAAGATCTTATAGAATATAGATAGTATTTATCCTTATATATGTAATTTATACACAAAAGAACTTTCCCATTAACTTTAACAAGTATTTTTATACCCACCATCAAAAAAGATGGGGGGTATATTGTTTTTGTCATTCCGTTTGTAACATATCGAAATATTCATCTAAGACCCATAAAAGTATATATATTCTGGAGTTTGTTTGGTATTGAAAATGGGCAATATCGGTCTACGATTTCGCCTAGCCCCCATATAAGGTCCCCCTCAGAAAATGACATTAACGCTCATAACTGACTAAAAGAAGCAGATATAGCGATGAAATTCGACATAAACATATTTTTTAGGTATCTTAGTATCACTGTAAAATTTTATGAGGATCGGTTCATAATTGACCCTACCCCCCATATAAGGTCCCCTTGAGAAAATGACTTTAACGCTCATAACTGTCCAAAAGAAGTATCTAGAGCGATGAAATTCGAGATGAACATATTTTATAGGAACCTAAATCGCTTTGAAAAATTGTATATGGATCGGTTCATAATTGATCCTACTCCCCATATAAGGTCCCCTTCAGAAAAATACTTTGAGGCTCAGAATGGTCTAAAATAAGCATCTATAGAAATTCGACACGAACATATTTTATAGAAACTTTAATATCATTGTAAAATTTTATAAGGATCGGTCCATAATTGACCCTACCCCCCATATAAGGTCCCCTTCAGAAAATGGCTTTAAGGTTCATAATTTTCTAAAAGAAGCATCTATAGCGATGAAATTCGAAATAAACTTATTCTATAGAAACCTAAATCGCTTTGTAAAATTTTATAACGATCGGTCCATAATTAATGAAATTTACAAAACTAATTAGATTCGGAACCGAATTTGACCAAAATTTGGCTTCATTCGGCCCCACGTTGGGCGCCATTCTGTACTATAATAAACCTTCTTTAAAAATCTATTTGCTACCGTTTATTATAATATACTTACATCAAGTGTACAATACCAAACAGAAGCAAATAATAGAAAGGAAAACCTACATTTTTCATGGGTACCAAAATTTATTTACACATTCGAAACTTTTAAAATTTTATCCACAAATAAAAATCTATAACAACGACTAAAATGTATTACTGATGTTAATTATTTTGGGTTCCCGGTGCTTTATCGGTTAATCGTTAAATCGATAACTTATGATTAATAAAGACGCTTTGCCAATTACCATAAAATTTACAATCAGGAGTACTAATTGTGAATGATAAAGAATACCAGAATCAAAACAAACGCCAAGAATCAAAATTATCAATTATTACAACAACTGATTTGCAATAATAACAATTGTTGGTTCTTTAAGCGAGAATAACAAAACAATAATAATAACAGAGATGAAAGAAGAAAGAAAATATATATATGTAAATTAAAACTCACCAAACTTTAACATGATGATCGATGAGGCCTCCTCGAACGTGATGAAGTTGGATTAATGATGTACCTATATAGGAGCTTAGTGTAAATAAGGTGTAGTTGTTTTTCTCTCTTTCATGTTTTGTGTTGTATATTAGGGTGATTATATGTTTTAGGTGTGATTTGTTCTAAAATGTTGTGTTTTAATATGTGTGGTTGTGTATTAGGTGTAATTATGTGTTTTAGGTGTAATTTGTTTTAAAATGTTTTATAAAAAGTGTAATTAATTTTTTTTTTTTTTTAGTATTTTATGTATAATTTT